AAGAGAGATGAGCAGAGCTCCCTCCAAGTGTCCCTGGAGTCCTCAGTGATCTTTCCTTAGTCCATCTGAAAACTGTGAAGATCCAAGTGCCATGTCAGAAGGTCCAGCTTAAAACCAATTCCTCGGGTGCTTTTATCCTTGCAACTGGGGCATGTTTTCATCTGGGTCAGGTGCAGGGAGGGACAGGCAAAGTGCTGTAATTCTGAGCCATAGTCCAAGTGCCTTCAATCTGTCCTCTAAGAAGCTCTTCACTGTGAATTACCTTGATCATCTGTCTTCATTCCACGGGAGCATCTCTGTGCTCAGTAGGTCTTAAGTCTCAGGAGTTTACACTTTTCAGGAGTGCCTTGTTTGGGGATTTCAGAAGCTAAAGTCTCTGAAATGTTTTTTTCTGCTCTTCAGTTTAATTTTTTTAATCTCCTTCTTTGGCTCTTGATAGTGGTTCTTAATTTGGCTCGTAGGATTTTTTTGGAAGCCTTCCTTTGGTCCTGTATGTGCTGGGAGAAAATAGGTAACAACTGCATGTTCCAGACCATCGCTGAGTGCAGTCTTTGTGTTAGCTGCAAGTCTCTGAGCACGTTTTGTTTTCCTTACTTTGGTTCATGCAGTGAAAATGAAGTTGGAATGACACCTAGTGGCAAACTGTGGTGTTGTCCAAACACAGCCCTCTTCTAGCTACATTCCCACTGTTTCTGGATGAGATGCTCTTACAAAGAGGAATAGGGGTTTGGTTTGCTGGATGATGGTCTTGGACCTAGTCCTAGATGTTCATTAGCTGCCCTCTGTGGCACCTGATCCTGAGGAACAGCATTTCAGCCTCCAGAGGGATGAGCATGAGTCCACAAGCACCCACTGGAAGGGGTGCAAGGCACGTGCAGTCAACTCCCCCACTGTCGCCAGGAGATGCTCACCAGCACCTGCCTTGGGGAGGCATCCTGGGGGACACTGCAGGGAAGCAAAGCCTAAAGATGCTGAGGCTGGAATCAGTACAGAATCCTGGAATGATTTAGGTTGAAAAGGACCTTAAAGCTCATCTCATTCCAACCCCCTGCCATGGGCAGGGACACTGGACCAGGTTCCTCCAAACCCCATCCAACCTGGCCTTGAATGCTTCCAGGGATGGGGCACCCAAAGCTTCTCTGGGCAGTAAGTTTGGGACTTTCTCCCATCTTGAGACACGGTGGAGCAGCTCAGGGTGTTGCTTCCCAGAGTGTTCTGTTTCAGGGAAATGCAGTTTTAAGAAGTAAAGGGAATTAGGGCTGTTTGTCTTTTGAAACTTAGCAGTACTGTGTAAAACAATCCCATCCTTTTGTCCTGGGAGTTTGGCTGCTCTCTTTGGGGAGAGAATTACAGCTTCAAAGAATGTTGATTCCTTGATTTTTATTTTTTTTTTGAGAGTTATTGGAAAAGAATGTGAAAAGGTCTTCCAGAAATAGTGTTAGGGGCTCTACAGATTCACATCCAGATTTTTGAGTGCATAGTGGATTTTTCTATGCTTTTTGCTAAAACAACAATTACTGGTCCATGTTTGATTTACTTCTCACCCTTCTCAGGCTTCTAAAAAACTTCTCATGTCAACTCAGTGGTTGAAACCCCCCTTTCCTTCAATGCAGAAGAAGTCTGTGCTATTTAACACTGAGATTGTGATAGCATCCAGATGCTCCTGCCTCTTCCTGGTCTGCATTGTTCTTGGAAGAGTACAGCCCTGCATGAGGGAAAGCTTTAGAGCCTTGTGAGGAGCTTAAGCCCAGACAGCAGGGCTCAGACCTGCTGGCTTCAGTAGCAATGTGGAAACCAGCTGCAGTGCAGGGCCTGTGTTACGTGTTTGTTTTGGATGTGATAAACCCTCAGACTCTTCACTCCTTTGGAATCTGGATATTTTCTTCTTTTAGGTCAGGTTTTTCTGTCCTGATAATTTACATTCTTTCTTAGACCCTGCTCTATTTCTCACTCCTATTTTCTACCCAAGTGTTTGGCTAATAGTCAGCTTTTTTCTAATGCACAAACTGGAATAGGGATGATGGTTCACTTGGCTACTGGGCAGCAGCTCTGGCTTTGGCTCTGCAGGAGCTGTGGTGAGTCTGGGGCAAGGTAAAAGCATCCATGGGAGAAGGCTCCCTTTGAGGCTTAACTCAATATGATCTTGTACCATGTAGGGCAACTAGTGTGTGGCTGTTACAGGCCTCTTGTGGTGCTGTGTGGGGCTATGTTCTTAATTTAAGTGATGATATTAAAGATTTGGAAGGTTTGAGATGGCATAAATTAAAATCTCAATTGTTTGACTTAATTTATTTTTCTAAATAATGCAGAGCAGCACAGAGATCAGCTTTTTGGGAGGAGGAGTTGCAAACTCTTCTCTGGCAGCAGTGTGATCCCTGGGACTTGCAGGGAGGGTGGTTTGTCCCAGCCTCTCACCCACTCGGCTTCCTCCTGGAAAATACCACACAGTGCCTGCACCACTCAGTGCCACAGACCCAGCTCTGAGTTGCCTTCACCACTCCTGGGAGGGTTATGGTGCTTTCTTTGACCACTCAGTCTCCTCTTTCATCCTGCATTAAGAACGCAGCTCTTGGGTGCTCCGAAGGCAGATGCCCGTTGTGCCTTTCTGTGCAGGAACCTTCCCAAAGGAATAAATGTGAAGCAGCAGGGATGCAACGGCGCCCTCGGTGTCCTGAGAGCAGAGGGAGCTCTGCCTGGGGACAGTTGTTCCTTCTCCCCTGTCCTCCCCTGCCTGGTAATGCTGTATGTCCCCCCTGTGTGACGGGCGAGCGTCTCGCTGCTGTTACAGGTGTCGTTGCACTGTTTGTCTGCTGATTGTGGAAGAGATCCTGGAACAGCTCCACGGCCCCAGCGAGGTGTGTTACAAACCAGCAGCTCCTGCCTGGACGCTCAGATGCCTCGAGTTTTCCTGTTGCCTTTCACTACGGAAAGACACCTCCCGGGAAGCTCTCGGGATCGGAGATCTTCCGGCACTTGATGTTATTTTTGGTTGCCCAGTTTCCGGTGCTGGGTTGGAATTGTTTGGAAGTAACTCCGGTCGTATCCAGTCAGTCTCCTCATGGGACTGTTCTGAGAAGTGTCCTGTTCTTTGACTTGCCTTTCGAGTCCTGGCTTTACTCTAGGGACTGTTGCGTTGGATAAGGTTGGAATCATTGTAATTAGTCCATAATGTTACAATTAGAGTGTACAGAATTATTTATTTGGTGTACTCAGTTTCCTAAAACATGTCCATGTATTCTGTGTACCCCGTGGCTCTGCTGTCGTTACTTCTGCCTCCTGGATCACCTGTGGGCTCACTGCTGGGAATGATGGTCAGTAAACACATGGAAAGCCAGGAGCTGCTCACCTCTCCAACATGTTCTTGGGTCATGGCAAGAAGGTAAATAGTTTGCTGATTTGTCGCTGCAGCTGCCCAAGGGAGACCTTGTGCAAGGCTGGGATGTCCATGGGATGCTCTGGGTGACAGCCTGCTGCTGGAAGGCAGGGTTGGGAGGCTTAACAGGCACTTTGGAACATTGTCTTCACTTTTCTTTGGCTGCAGAGTGGCAAACTGGGCCAGAGAAATGCTCTGGTTTGCACACAGCCACTTGTCACCTCTACAGTTTCACTCTGAGCAAAACCTGTAATATCAAATGATCAGTGCACACCCCTCTTGAGCCACCTCCTCCTGGAAAGGAGGGGATTTTTCAGGGGCAGGGGACCCTGTCCCCATGGTGGGAGGGCTGACAGTGACCTGAGCACATGGAGCAGATGACCCATAGTGCTGCAGTTGTTCAATTCCTGTTTGAAGCTCCTTGTAGCCACCAGTTTCCTCTGCCCACATGGCCCATTCCCACATCTCTGACATTCACCTGACTTCAAGGTCAGTTAGGAATTCCCTGCAGAGCAGACTACTAAATGAAGCTAAATTTTATCCTACCAAACTAAAATTTGTCAGCCCTGGGCTTTATTTGAGCAGATCTTTTTTAAACTCAATCATCCGGGCTGGACTATTTGTCTTTGCCCTCCATTGATGTTCCAGACCCTTCCCATGGGTGTGTCCCTGTGTAGCATCACATTCTCTCTGCAACTCTTTGATAGAGTGATTACAACATTTTGGGGGCTGTGATTCACACAGGAAAGGTTTTGTATTGCACTCACATCACTGCTAAGGGAAAACAAACCCCATGCCTCATGTTGGGACAGTCTGATCCTGCTCCTCTCCACAGTGTCCCATCACCAGCTCTATTTTGAGCAGCTAGGAACTGGGTTGTAATTCACTGAACATGTGTCTTGTTACTCCCATGTCACACAATACTTTATTTATTTTTTTTTTGCACCGGCCATTGTCTCAACATTTGGGTGAAAACCTGTTGCCTGACCTTGAATTTTTGTTTTCAGCTTCAAATTTTCCATTGGGATGGTGTTCAGTTTCCTGCTCTGCTACCTGGCAGATCTGCAGGTGTGAAGCAGCAGGTTCTCCACCTTCCCCAAGACCTGGAGCTGCTCTCGGCACTTCTCCCTTTCAGCTCTGTGTTCCCAGGCTGCTGCACAAGTCACAGCTTTAAACTGCATGCAGGGATCTTTTAGGATCCTGTGAACCCACCAGCATCCACCTTCCATTGCAGGCTGAGCTTTCTGGTGCTGAGTCTGCTGAGCTGCAGCTTCACAGTCCCTTCCCTGGTGTCACCTCACACGTGGGTCAGTGGAAGGACCCTTCTCCCCCCTCAGTGCCACGGTGGTCTCTGGGCTGGTGCCAGGGTGTAGGTACTTGTGCTTAAAGACCCTCTGAGCAGCCCTTGAGGCACTGCCAGGCCTGCTCCCCCTCTACCCAAGCATCATGTCCTGGCTTCACACCTCCCCCTGGGTCCCAGCTGGGCACTTCCAGCTCTGGGAAGTTCTTGGCTTCGGGAGAGGAGCATGGGGTGCCCCAGGCTCCCCCATGTGCCTTCCACCCTGGTCAGCACCATGAGGAGAAAGGAGGCAGAGGCAGCGCTTGGCACAAGCCAACTGTGGTACTTTATTAATCCCAGTGAAGGGATCACAGTGCTGGCAGCTTCACCCCTAAGCGATGATGGAGTCGATCCAGCTGCGGAACTGGCTGACGCGGGTGTATATGGCCGGAGTGTAGGTGTTGCAGTTGGAGTTCCCCCAGGAGACGATGCCGATCAGAATCCAGCCGCTGGCACTCTGGTACACCAGGGGTCCACCGGAGTCACCCTGCAGAGAAGACTCGTGCTCAGTGCTCCTGGCACGTGCTCCAGACCGGTCCCTGCCACCCCAGCCACTGCTCCCCTGCGCACAGCCAGGTGCTGGAGCTTAAGTCTCTGGCTCTACAGATGCAAGATGCCACATATCCCCCTCCTCCACCCTCCCTGTGATGCAGTGGGAGCTCAGCAAGACTCCACGTTTCTTTCTCTTCCTCCACCCACCCTGTGGTGCAGCAGGAGCTCGTCTCCTTACCTGGCAGGAGGAGGCACCGGCCCCACCGGCGCAGATCATGGCACTGGTGATGCGGCTGCCCCAGTACTGCGTGCACTGAGTCTGGGAGATCAGGGGCACGACTACCTGCTGCAGGGATGTTGCCAAGGCTTGAGCTAGGGGAAGAAGCACCATTAAATCACCTCAGTGTTGGTGGGTCTCCTGGAAAGCGCATGGGTGCCCTGGGCAAGCTCCCACTGGTGCTCCCGAACACACGGGTGCTGCCATGCAAAGTGCTTTTCCCCTCTGTGCCAATGTACCCCTTCTTCCTCGAGCAGGAGAGAGTAATCAGACATTGGAATGGGCTGCCCAGGAAGGTGGTGGAGTCACCATCCCTGGAGGTTTTTAAGATGAGACTGGATGTGGCATCAGTGCCATGGTCTGGTAACCACAGAGGGGTTGGGTCATTGGACTTGATGATCTCGGAGGTCTTTTCCAACCTGGTTGATTCTGTGATTCTATGTGTCACCCCCCCCAGGCAGCCCTGGACCCTCAGAGCCCCCAGGAAGAACAGCAGCCACACACAGCCCTCCCTGGAGCCACAGCACACGTACAGTTGGGGTTGGTGCGTCCCCAGCCGGTGGTGACAGCCTTGGCGTTGTAGGGCAGAACCAGGTTGGCGGGGGCCAGGCAGATGGGGGCCACACGGGATCCCAGCTGGGCGGGCGTGGAGAGCCTCAGCAGGGTGATGTCGTTGTTCATGGTGTTGGCGTTCCAGCCGGGGTTGGTGATGGCCTGCACAGAAACACCGTAGCACTTCATCCCTGCCCCGCGGGAGCAGCCGCAGCGTGGAGCTGCAGCCCCATCCCAGGACCAGCCCGGCTCACCCTGGACACAGTCTTCACTTGAACAGCCTCAGCACTGGAGCTCAGGTCATATTCCCCGAGGACGACGACATGGGCGTTCGGGCTGCGAGAGGTAAGAGAGAGTCAGGGGGACGTGGGGCATCCAGCACCCCAGGGTGGGAACAGGAACCCAAGGGAAGCCACCATGGGGACAGCTGGGGAAGAAGCCCAGGGCTGCTCAGGCATTTGGGGCTGACCCAAGTGGCACTCAGCAATGCCCAGCATGCTCCAAACTCCTGACAGTGGCACCAGTGTGGGCTGGCCAGGCACGGTTCTTTACTTGAAGTTGCAGTGGGCAGCTGTGACGACCCAGTACTGGTTGATCAAGGAGCCGCCGCAGAAGTGGGATCCTGTGTAGGTCTGGGGAGCAAAGAGGGAGGAGGAGCTGGGGCTGGGCAGGCTGAGCACCCCCAGGCTGGGGGCAGTCAGGGCTCCCCTTGTGCCCACCCACCTCCCAGCCACCCGGCTTGCTCTGCCGTGCTGTGCCACCGCAGTGCTCAGGGCACTGCCCCTGCCCGGGGGTGGGACGGTGCTGTACCTGCAGGGACACCTGCCAGGGCCATGAGCCGGGCAGAGCACTCTGCCCGTTGACGATCCTCTCGCTGTAGGCCACTGAGGGACTGACGTCGGGCACCCCACACCCTGCGGGACAGGCAGATGGGCACAAGGGTGACCCCAAAAGCTCAGGGCTCGTATCTGGGGGCTGCCTGCACTGGTGCAGGTGGCTCTGTGCCCCCCTCCCCGGTGTCCTGCTGCACCCCGAGGACCTCCCTGCACCCAGCAAGGCAGCACTTACCGGAGACAGTGCTGGCAAGGGCCAGGCAAGCAACTACCCACAGGAACGCCATCCTGGACAGATTCAGGCTGAGCCCCTGGGGGCCACGAGCTTTATAGCAGCCAGGAGGCCACGTGGCTTGTAGCTAGGCTGGTCAAGGTCCCCCTGTGGCCTTGTGTCAGCTGTGGGCAGCAGTGACAGGCCAAGCTGTGCCCCTCGCAAACAGGGATGTGGGAAGGGACTGTCGAAAGACACCTGGGGTGCTTGGGCTGCTGCTGTAATGAGTTGTGTCAGTTCTCACTGCAGCCTGTGGAGCTGGAGAGGGGAGAGCACCATGGGGCTGTGATGGGGGGCTGCTTGTGGGCACACAGCTGGGGTAGCAGTGGGGCTGGACATGGTGGGATGGGCACCAGTGCCTGGGGTGTGGGAGGTCATCCTGTGCCAGATCTGTTTCAGATCTGTTGGCACTAGAGCTTTTTTTCCATGTGGCCATGAAGTCCTGGCCTAGGCAAGCGCTGGTCCCAGCTGGATGTTCCCAGGGCTCAGGGCTACCCTTTGAACCATGTCCCTGGTACAGGTGAGTGAGTCCCAGAGCCAGTGGGGGCCGGTGAGGAGGGCAGATACCTTCCCAGGCAGGTGGGAGCTGTGGCCAGCTGGGCAAGCGCATTGTGAGCCCCAAGGAGGGCAGTGAGCACCTCCCCAAGGTGAGGTTGAGCCCACCACTGAGCATCCCCCCAGCACTACAGCTGCCTGACCCTGACCCCAGGGCTGGGGAGCAGTACAGCCCCCTCCATCCGGGACCTGGGTTATGCAGTGTCTCCATCATCCCCCCTGTCCCTGGGTGACCTCCCAGGGTGGCACTGGGTGCAGGGAGCCAGCCCTGGGGTGATGCTGAACACAGGGATGCTTCCCCCTCCCCCCCCATGCCACCCACATGCCCTGATCCCTGTCCTGACCCTCTGGGGAGCAGAGCCTGAGGACACTGAAGAGCAAGTGCACAGTTCAGGCCTTTATTTCCAGCAGTGGTGCCACACAAGGACAGCAGGATGCAGCCCCCCCCAGGGCAGGAAGCGTGGCAGAGTGTGGAGGTCTCCCAGGGCGCTGCAGGGGCTGGGTGCAAGGATACAGACAGAGACACAGGCTGCTCCTGATCTTCTCATGGCACCTGGGGAGGAGACAGCCAAGGGCCGGGCAGCAGCAGAGGATGGAGGGAGAGCCAGTGCTCAGGGCATTGCTGCCCATCACAGAGGAACCTTGGAGCAGGAGGATGCTCGACACAGCAGACACAGCAGGTAGAGAGCTTTGGACTCCAGTCCTGTTTTGGACAGTGGCAAACGAGCCAGAGCCAGGAAGTCTGGCAGGTGAGTAGGAACTCAAGAGCCGATGGCACTGCCCGGGGCAGGGAGACCACCTGGTGCCCTTCTCTGTGCCCGTGAGCAAAGATGAGCTGACTGAGCTGCTCTCCACCAGCCATGCAGGGCCCAGGCTGGAGTAGCAACACCTGACCTCGGGGCTGAGCCCAGAGGACCTCCTGTGCCTAAAACCCTCCTGCCAGCTGATAAGACTCCAGTCTGTCTGGAAGCTGGGATGGTAGCAGGCTCCATGGCCTGGACCTGCTGCCTCAGGGAGCTGTCTGGAGACTTGGAGAAACCCAAACATCCCTACAGCCCCATGGAGACATGGATTTGCCCCAGCTGCAAACTCTTGTCTGCTCTGCAACATCTCTTCCTCCTGCAAGCAACAGGCCAGGCCTGAGCAGCCCTCGGTCACTGTCCCAGCAGGCCAGCAAAACAGCTACAGGCTGGATTTCCCCTGATCCAGGTATCCCAGCACTGGTGCTTGCAGGGGACAGTCTGCTCAGTGAGGGAAGACCAGAGGAGGATGGCACATATCCAGACTGTCCCCAACGCAGGACGAGGTGCTGCGTGCAGGGGATGCCACGTGTCACCTCCGTTCAGCTGCAGAGATGCCCCCGTGGTCCATCCCTGTGCCGGGGCAGTGGGCAGGGGGAGCTGGCTGAGGGGCAGTGTCAGGCACACTTGCCCTTGCGAAGGCAGAAGGGCAGCTCTGGCACAGGCACCAGGATGGTGCTGAAGATGGGCCGGTAGCCCTCGGGCAGGACCTGGGGGTGCTGAGCCATCATTTCCAGCACCACGTGCCGCACTTCCTTGGAGACGTCACCCCGGAGGTCCAGCAAGGTGGAGATGTGCTCGTCGCTGGGCAGAGAGCGAGAGGTGAGTCAGGGTGAGCTGCTGGCCCACCCCACCATCCACAGTGCTTGTGTCCCACAAACCTCCCATGATCTGGAAAAGCCAAGCTGAGGCCAGGGGAGAGCCGGTACTTCGCACCAGGCAAATTTTAAAATTTGCCTGAAAATAACACCCCAAACCACATGAATTTGGTTTTGACATTTCCAATTTGGTGTTTTGTCATTTCTTGTGCTTTATTTGGGCACCAGACATGTGACTGCCACAGCAGAACTCCTTTTTCCTTTACCTCTTTGCCCTTGGGGCTTTGCAAGAACACCTCAAATCTGGAGCATGGGAAAAGGAAATCTCAGGGAGAAGGGGGAAAAGGCTCAGGTTTCCGCCTGCTCTGCACTGTCATGTCACCTCACAGGGTCCAGCCCCAGACTGGCTCTCCTGGATGGACTCCCACCTTCCCCCTCTTGCAGGAGGTACCTTACCTGGCATCAGGGTACTTGGTGATGAAGCCCAGCACCTCCAGGCTGAGTAGTGCTGGGTCTTTGAGGCAGATCAGCTCCCGCAGAGCAGAGACGGCCTCCAGGCTCTGCTGGCTCTGATCCAGGCCCTGGGAGGGAAAGCAGCCAGGTGTGAGACCCAGGGGAGGTCAGCACAGTGGCTGGTGAGACACAGCTGGGTCCCCAGTGCCCAGGTGGGGACCTGGTTCTCTGCAGCTCTTTTCTTCCCACTGAGCATATCCCACCCACCAGGGGCTGCTGTGCAGCCTCACAAATCCCTGCTGGGCAGGGTGATGGTCCCCCAAGTCCCTAATCCAGCCAGTTCCTCCCATCTTGGCCTCACAACCACCCAAGTGTAACAGCCACGTCTTGTTTGTGGGCTGATGTACCCACCCCACTTGCAGGAGGGTGACGGAGGTGAGCTGTGAGCTCCTTTAACCGACCTTGCTGGGTGATGGTCCCCTGCTGTGGCACAGCCCCGGCTCCCCAGCACACCCAGGCCCCTCTCACCAGGCCACAGAAGAGCTCCCGGAGCTGTGTGGTGTCCTGCAGCAGGCGGTCACAGAGCTGGCCCCGCTCCTCCTCGCTCTTGCACACCATCTTCCTCTGCATGAGTGCCCGCAGGTACTGGCTGGCCACCAGGAGCTCGCTCTCCATCAGCAGGAGCTGGGCAGGGGAGAGCTGTTAGTGCTGGCACTGCCTGCCTGTCAGACCCCAGTTCCCCAGGGAAAGGCAAAGAGGATAAGGGCTGGATACAACACCAAGCCATGGACGACCTGCGGGGAAGACCCTTGGCTGAAGGCACAGAGAAAACAGCTGGACTGGGGGGAAACCCTGAACACCTCTGTGTGGTGGTGCTCTCTGGACTGCTCTGGAGGACACAGGCTCTCTGGCAAACCCAACACACCCTGCACCCCAGCGTGGCACCCAACTGCCCAGCCTCCCTGCCCCACGGACAAGCAGCCGTTCCAAGGACAGGCAGTACCGTGAAGATGGGTTTCCTGACGCGGGTGAAGTGCTTTGCATACTTGTCAATCACTTCACACATGCTGCCGACGAGCTGGGACCCGGAGAGCCACTTGCGGGAGGGCAGCTGCAGGCAGAGGGGCTGAAAGAAGCAGAGGAGCAGTGTCTGTGCCCTGCATTGTCACATCACTCCTGCAGCAGCTGCCAGCTCAGGGCAGCACAACACCCTCAGCTGGTGCCCACCTGCTGCCTGGCAGCAAGGCCACTTTGCCTTGCAAAACCCCCAAGCCCCTGCTGCCAGACAAAACTCAGTATAAAAACAGAAGAGTGGTCTAGGTTAGGAAATTATGGAAACCCCCTGGGGCTGTCCCTCCCTGACACCCTAAGAACCTCATTTTGGGGCTTTATCTGGGTCACAGTGCAGCACCTGTGAGTGCTCCTCACACACTCGCTTTTGGCCTGTCTTGCTGTGATTTTATTTTTAATTTCCACTCCTCCCCACTTCCCTTGTGTAGACATAGCATGTTTTTGGCTGAGGGCTTTGATTTCCAACTCCTGCCCTGCTGTCTTCCTGCCTTGCAGGCACACATTCCCTCTGTCTCTGCTGGGGCCCCGGCCACTGCCGGCAAGCTCTTCACCCTTTGGCTCTTCCTTTATTTTCATGGCATTCAAGCCCTAAATAGCAATGCCGTTAATTATTCCAGATTTTTGGTCCAGACTCCAGGAAAGCTAAATTTGACTACACTGGCAGGAAACGACTTGGGCAGTTGCACATGGATTTGTATCCTCCGTGCGGACATCACCGCCCTCCAGCTGGTTTTCTGCCATGAAACAGCCATAAGAAGGAGCATGAGGCAGCCTGGGGGGGCCCTGGCTCCTGGTCTCTGTCTGTTGGTGATTTGGGGGCCACAAACCATCTGCCCCAGTGATATGGGGCAGTGCTGGCTGGTGACAGACATGGGGTGGTTTATCATGGCCTGGGAGCCAGCCTGGCAGAGATGTCTGCAGGATGATAGCAGGGTATGGAGCACATGGCAGGGGTCCCTGGCAGGAATAACTCATGTCTGGGGTGTTGCTGTAGGGCTGTTCTTGCTGAGTCCAGGTTTGTTGCAGCCCTGTCAGGCTCAGTGCTGTGGACAAACGTACCTGCAGGTCCAGGAGCAGCTCCTCCAGCAGCAGCTGGCAGGCTTTCTTCTGCATCCTGTCTAGAGCAGCCCGGAGGGATGCAGGGACTTCTCTGTGGGCAGTGTCGGGGTGCAGGGAGGAGACAGAGTTGCTACAAGAGAGAGGAGAGGTACAGGTAGCCTGGGAACACAGTGGGGACAGTGGTCCTGCAGGAGCATGGGGAGTACGTGGCTTCCCTGGGGGTGGTGGGTTACTACAAGAGCTACACTGTGCTGGTGCTGGTTACCTGAGAGCCAGGTTGTTGTT